TGTGTATTTTTAGCGCTAGAGTAATGTCTTTGTATTGGTAATTTTCAAGGCGTGCATTCAATTTTTTGTTGATAACGGTTTGTTTGGCTATTTTAGTGTTGTACTCTAGAATTATTTGCAAAACATGAGTCATTGATGCTTTATTAGCACCTGTTCCGGTTATATCTTTTCGTATGAAGCTGCTTCATGCGCCAACAGATTTGTCTGTAAAATTACTAAGTAGTTTTCGTATTAACATTTCAAGTTCATGGTTTCCAGGTGGGCAATTCGCATATACCTTACCACCAATAATTTATGTTGGACTTCTGGGTGTTTCTGATAGTCGTGACGGCGGTTTAAATTGTTGGATGGCGGCTGGGCCGAATTCGACAAAAAATTTGCATAAAGACAACGAACAGAGGGTTTTTCGTCGTTATTCGTATACTACAACTTCTGAAGATTCAGACGACGCTTCTCCTGTTGACGACTCCTGTGGTATGTTGTGTGATTCTTATGGTTTCGTATTTTAAAATTTGTTGTCTTACGAATGACATTTGCCTCTTTCTTTCGTAATAAACCGTTTTAATAAAATTTACGCCCAAGTTGACGTTTTTTACACGTAGGTCTTAAGTAAAAGCTCTTCTGTGAGTTTACTGAGTTGAATCGTTATCTTGCTTTTGTAAACAGAAATTTTTTTTTTCATCCTGGATGTGTAGGCTGAATTCTACAATTGTTTGTAACGAGCATCTGCTGAGGTAGTATGCCATTTTTAGGCCAGTCGTAATAGAATTGAATTAAGAGTTTTATTGCTGTCTGTTTTTAGCATCATTTTTCCGCTACTGCAGTTTTTAGCGCGTTATATTTTATGAATACAAGTCGTTTAGCTATCAGGGAAGTTACTGTCAAAAAATTAATAATTTCTTTTGATGTTTCAAAGGTATATTAAAAGATTAATCGGGGTTTTTGTTCTGAAGAATATCCTTCAAAGGTCGGAATGTTTTTTGAGAAATTCTGTGTTTTAAATCTAAAATTTTAAAATTTCTGTTTATTTAAAGGAGCAAAAAACGTATTTTTACCTAGCTACACTGCCTTTTGTAAAGTTTCTGCGCTTTTTTTTTCAGTTTTTTATCATGATTATTAGCGGTCTTTGTCGAATTGGTACAGAATCAGAGGGTAATTTTGTAGTGAGTAAAGATTCTTTCTCATGTTAAAAATTGGTTCGTTTTTCTGAAAGATTTTTTTCTCGTTCTACACCTGATGAATTTTTTTTATCTTTCTCTTTTGCAAAAGTGTTAATTCCGCTATATGTTCTGAGGCTGTAGCTATATCTTTTTTTTTCTTCTGATTTTACGAAACAAGCAGTATTTCAGGAGTATCTCTGTCATGTGTAGTTTATATGTAGTACATCTGTGAATACACTGATTTTGTTACTCACTCTTTTAAATAAATTGCTCACTCGATTGAGCCGCAGGTAAAACAGTAGCACTGCGATACAAATTTTGCAAAGATATTTGCGTCGCAACATGCTCTGCTTTAGGAATTCTACGGCTAGGTTCTGAGTAGTACGGTTTGAGCTTGGTCTTTTTTTTTCTTTTAGAATGCAAAGGTCATTTTTAAGCTGCAGAGGTAAGTTCGTACGTAAAAAATTGCACAGCTTTTTGTAATTGTATTATCTTATTTTGATAGTGGCAGGCAGCTACATTTTATTTGAAAAAATTTCAAGATAAGTTAGATTTAGAACGTTCTGGTCGACGAGACTCTGAAGGTGCATCATCAGGTGGTAGCGGTCGTAGCAGTTGTTTAAAGCAGCGAAACGCTCATCATAGAAACATATCCCAATCTTACTCGTCTAGTGCACAAAGAGGATCGGTATAATTTTCTCTTGTTGTAGAAACTATAAGATTTATTGTTTTTTTTTCGGTTTAGGTTTCTTTCTGTGCTATTGATACTCATTTCAGTGCGTAAAGTTGTTGTAGTTCTGGAGCTTTGAAAGGGTGGAATTTATTTGTTCATTAGTCTTTAAATAATTATTTGCCTTTTTATTATATTTTTTTTACTTAATTGCAATTTTGTGAGTTTTTTGATACAGAACTTTTTCCTTTTATTGCTTATTCTGGTTCGATTTTGAGGTTTCTTGGTCATTTGGCCCAAAAGGGTGTTCATCGCGATCGAAATCCTCGTCACATAAAGGTTTAGGTTATTCAACCAGCAAAATTCCTTCATCAAATAAAACAGTTCCGCCAGGTATTTGGTCTTTATTTTGCACCGTATACGTTTATTGCTTTTATAAATTTTGATTAAAAGAATTACTGCATGAATGAAAGTGCTTATTTTACTAGGTGGAATCTCCACAATATGTTGTTGTATTTTTGCAGCACACTTTTCTTAACTCTTTGTTTTTATCTGTTTTTGGTATTGAGTAGAATTAAAAAAGTTTTGTGCAGATGACTTTAAGGGTTAAGGTACTTACACAAAGCTATTGAGCGCCATATATCACATAATTTTTAGGTGTTTCTTTATATTATTTTATTTTCTTAGAATTATTTTATGGCGTTATAGCAGTCTTCTAGTTTTTATTTCTTTAGTTTCAAACCATTTCATACTTTTTTCTTTTTCATTTTATTTTGTTGGTTTTATGGCAAAAGTTGATAAGCTTTATTCAAAGATTTATATAATACTGTTAATTCATGGGAAGAAATTTTGTCTGAAAGAGTAGTGCAGCATTTCTTTTGCAGATTTCTTATTGTCTGACTTATTTAGACGCTCTCGCGTTTATTTTTAGCGGGTTTTTTTTTCAGTAAGATAAATCGATTTTAACTTTTTGTTGCACGCGTGCTTTGAAATTTTTGCATTTAAAGCCTTTTTGAAAGCAGTTTTGAATTGCAGTTTAGTCTATAATACGCGGAGTCAGTTGCAGTTTTAGGATTTTTTTTTTTCAATATTAAAATGTGTTACATCTGTTTGAGTTTTTACTCCTGACGTAAGTTTCAAATGAATATCAAAAAAAA